ATTCTTTTTGCTATTTGCCCCTCTTAACTCCCTTCTTGTTCCCTTTTCCCTCTCCTCACCATTCTCTAATTTGTCCTTTCCCTTCTTTCTTCTTCTTGCTCCTTTACTTGCTTCTTAATGGTCTATGACACTGAAACTGAAGTGTATTTGAAACATGGTTAGTGGTGTTAAATGAAGTTTCATCTCTCCTGCTTTTTATTTTTGAATAATTTATGCTTAACTTTTTATGTGCCTTGACAATGAAACCTACATTTAATTGCTTTCTAACTTCTGTGAACCCTTTAATTAATCTCGCTTGTGCATCAACAGCCCTAAATGGGGGTGGGAGTGGGGGTGGGTTACTTCATCCTTGCTCTGGTTACTTAATCTGTGTGGCTAACAGATCAAAACCAATGCAATTAACTGCAACCAGAGGAACTCAGATTTGAAGTGAAGAAGAATTTCCTTACATTTAGACCATTGCAGGAGCCTCCTACCTATCCTCTACCACCAATCTTTCTTTATTCAATCTACCTTTTTGCGGTATTAACACCATCATTTCTTGTTCCAAAAACCGTTAATGGCTCCCCACTGTCCAAAGAACAGAGTGAAAATTCCTTCACCTGGCATTCAATGTCCTCTCTCAACCTACTAGGAAGTTCCAAACTAAAAGCGGCTTCCAGGAAGGGAAATTGTGAGAAGATGCACTTTTCTCCTAGAAGTACTCATATACAGGCCAGGCCAGTGTTATATACAGAATAAGGGATGCTAAAAAGCAGTAGCTGATCTGCACGGAAGCCTCTTTCCCTCCTTAATGAACTATGCCTCTTAGTATTCATATCCTTGTGTAGTCCTCTCCTTGAATCTGAACTGGTCCTGTGACCAAGAGAATAGAGGAATGATACCATGTGACTTCCCAGGGTAGATCAAGAGAAACCTTGCCATTTCTGTCTGCATCTCTCAATACCACTCACTTTCAGGATGCTTCTGCTCAGAACCCAGCTGTCATGCTGTGAAAAGCCCAAGGCACATGGAAAGGCCACTTGTAGGCATTCCATTCAACAGCCAGCATCACGTGCCAGCCACATGAGTGAGCCAGAGTAGATGTCCAGCCTAGTTGAGCCTATAGATGATGCCTGCCCCAGTCTCCATTTGACCACAGCAAAATGAGAGACGCCAAGCGAGAACCACCCAGCTGAGCCCAGTTAATCCACAGAACCATGAAGATAATAAAATGTCAACTTCACTTGAGAATGTCCTAGATGAACCAATGAAAACTAACTTTATTAAATCTTGACCCTCGATATGTCTTTTATTCTTTGTAACAAAATAGGAATTACATGATTGTCTCAAGAAAAAGCACTTGCGCAACTGAGTTGCAAGCTAAACTAGCCACTTTCTTGATGAAACATCATTTTTACTTGAAAGAAAGATTAACGGGCAAATTATGATTATTTAGACTTCAGTATTTGAGAGACTTTTTCTTGAAAGTGAAGTGAGAGTGTAACTTCAAAAAAGAGAACTGACAGTATGTTACCAATTATTAAAACCAAGCTTTTAAGAGAAAATCAAATGATGGAAAACTTGAGTCTACCACTGTCAGCTTGACAGCTTCCTAATACTTGAAAACTTTTCTGATGAGATCAGTGGTGATATCAATGAATATGATTTTCTAACATGATAAAATGTGTCAACACTTGGAAGATTTATATAACACAGTGAAACAGTATTTTCCAATGACCAATTCAAAGTAAAAGATCCATTCAAAGTGCAAGACAGACCAATGGATTTTAATGTCACAAAGTATAGTAAGTTTGTTGATAAGGTTCCAGACTTCACATTGCAACTAACCTTTAAGAAATTACCACTTGTTGAGTTTGGTATAGTATCAAAGAAGAACAGCCACAATTATCTGTAAAGGCTACTAAAATACTTCTCTCTTTCTCAACCACGAATCTGTGAGACCAGATTTTCTTCATATCCTTCAAACAAAACAACCTATTGCAAAAGATTGAATATAGAAACGGATATAAGAATTCAGCTGTCTTTTATTAAACGCTTTATGGCAAAAATGTAAAACAATGTCACTCCCCTCAATTCTTTTTTTTTTTTTTTCCTGCTTTTTAAGACAAGAAGCCCAGCCAGCCCGCGGGCCAGCCGTTACCACTCCGGCCTAGCTGGCAACTCAATTCTTTTTGTTTTGAAAACTAGAAATTTTTCATTAAAAATGTCATGATAACATGTAACAGGTTTATATATTACACTATTATATTAACTGAATTTAAAAATTAGTAATTTTTTAAAATTCCTCAGTTTTAATTTCTAATATGGTAAACAGAAGCTCTGGGGTCCTCAATAATGTTTAAGAATGTAAAGGGGTCTTGAGGCCAAAAAGTTTGAGAATTATTGTTCTCAGAATATTCTAAAGTTGACTTCAAAATAAACTATCTTTCTTTCAAGGCCCAATCTAAGACCCAGTTTCGCCAGGGACAAAGCCAGCCCTCAGTGATGACTTGTTCTTCTCAACGTGTATCCTTGTACAGCACCATGTTCTCACTACCCTCCAGTTCTCTCATATTTGAAAAAGCTTAGCTGGGCCCAGTGGCTCACACCTGTAATCCCAGCATTTTAGAAGGCTGATGCAGGAGGATCACTTGAGGCCAGGAATTCAAGACCAGCCTGGGCAACATAGTGAGACCCCGTCTCTACAAAAAATTTTTTTAAAAATGAGCCAGGTGTGGTGGTGCACACCTGTAATCCCACCTATTTGAGAGGCTGAGACAGGAGGATTGCTTGGGCTTAGGAGTTGGAGGCTGCAGTGAGCTATGATCACGTCACTGCACTCCAGCCTGGGCAACAGAGCAAGACCTGTACACACACACACACACACACACATATATATAAAAAAAAGAATAAAAAATCTTTTTTGTACATATGTCTTCTTTCCTGAGCTAGGTTCCCCAACCCTAGAGGGGGCAAGGGCAGCCAAGGACCATGTCTGAACATCTGAAACACCTGTCACAGTACCTGGTTCACAGAAGTACCTCAGGAGGGAAACACTAAGATGGCAACCACCACGGCTTTTTGAGTTTAACATTGAAAAATATGATAAAGCTATAGCTTCATCTTTGCCAGAGGAAACCAAGAAAGAAAACTTCTAGCTGGGACTAAGAGCTCAAAGCTCAGTGATGAACTGGACAAATGACCCCTAGACATGTATAATTGTTGCTACTGTGGCTAACTGCCACCAAAGCAAATGACAAAGTAAATCAGTTCAACTCCCTGTCCCTGCTCAGGGCGAACTTCCACCTCACCCCCTCTCAGGGAACCTCAGAAGCCTCCAAATTCCCCTTCCTCCTCCCTCACATTCCCTTCAGAGGAAAGGACTGGGTATGGGTTTGAGAACAGGAGGGGCCCCTGCCCAGGACCTTCCTGAAAGATCCACAAACAACCTGACCCCCACAGACTGATAGACACAGGGGCTCACCACTCTGTTTGGCAACAGGAAAACCCGCAGAGTGTTAAAGGCAGAGAAAGGGAAGTAAAGCCCACAAACAGCTACTGGAACCACTGAACTTCAGAGATTAAACAAGTCACACAGGAGGCCCACATTTCCCCCGGCCCCCAGCAGGGACCCACCATAACCCAGCCTCCCAAATAGTTGGGACAATGAACATCGAATTCCCTGGAGCTCCCCTTCTGAGTTTATAAAACCTGCCAGGCATCCTGAGAACAGGGAAACAGCAATGGGAAATCCAGAGCATTGTTCAGACTCTGGTGAGGATCCCCAACCCCAGCAGAGATGGAAGAAACAAGTGTGTACGTCATGTCCAGCTCTCATATATGCCAGTGTACCATGGACCTGTGAGGCAGAAGAGGAATCTGTTTTCTACTATTATCATTTTCCAAGTGCCTGGCACATAGTTGGCACTCCAAAATATTTGTTCCCTAAATGACAGTGAATGATGGACATCTTTGGGGCCTGGTACCCTACACACTCATCATGGGCAGAGAAGAAAGTCTATTCATTTATTCATTCAACAAATATTTATTCAGTGTCTCCTCTGTGCCAGGCACCGTCCCAGACACAACAGGAAGCAAAATAAGTCCCTGCCCTTGTGGAGTTTATGTTTTAGTGGGTGCAAAGGTGAGAATCTGTATGCTCCTGAAAAAACTATGTAAGCCACAGACATTTAATAATTGTTTATTAAGTGCCTACACTATGTGTAAGTGATGGGTACCAGATGCTACGACAGGCACACCTTGGATCCGGGACTCAGCACTAGTGAGATTATTTCATATTCAAGGCTGGGACCCTAAATCTGGATCCTGTGTCAGTCAGTTGTGAGAGGCCCCTGAGTAAGGGAAATGAGATTACCTCTTTGGTGCATCTGTCTTCATCTGTCGGTGAGCAGAAGCCACTGTGTGAGTACCACGTGCATGCCCAAAACACCACACACGACTGCAGGATAGAAAGAAAACCAACATCTTTAGCTGAGAGGTGCCAGGAGTCCAAAAAGCAGCTCTAATAAGTTATAATTAAACAACAGGGCTCAAGGAGAGCTCCCAAAGGTGAGCAATCCGTCTCCTCGTCTGTCCCTCACACACACACCCTAATATGTAATTCAGAGCCTGAGTCAGCAAACATTTCCCAATTCTGGAAGTAGTCTGCTCACTCCCAAGCAAGCAGATGCTAGCTTTACTGACTTTACCAAGGTGGGGCAGAAGAAGTTGACAAAGGAAGGAAGGACCCATGCCCAACACTCCCCCATGGGTGGCAGCTAATAAATGGAGATGCCCTGAGTCATGCTTGATTCCTTGACCAAAGCCATGTGGAGACATGACCGGAGTCACACCCCAATCACCAGCATGGTGAGTTATGAAGGCTAGGAACCATATGCCAAGGGAGAAGACCCACATGTCTGAAACCTGATGCGAGGGGCCGTTCTCTCCCTGCCAGGCTCAAGCCAAGTACCCAGCTCTCCTCTGACACCCTGGAATCCAGCTGCTGCAAGCAGCCTGCCCTCCTGGCTCCAGTGACAGAGAAAAATGCTCAGGGACATCAAACCATCTCAAGAAACAGCCATTGGGCAATCTGGGACAACATGGCACAGACAAGGGCATCAGGCACAAGTTTTCTGACATGACACAAGCAAGGGCCTGGCAGGACAGACAATCCACAGAGATGCCGGATAGGGAGAAAGAAGAGAATGTTTCTAGTGTAGACAATGCTGAGCAAAAGGGATGGCTCCTGGCAGGCCCTACAGGGTCACTGGAGGAAGGCACTACAGTTCAGCTTCTCAGCCTTCAGGCATCACCCAGGAAGGTGGGCCTTGGTGACAGGATACAGCTGAAACCTTTAGAAGCAACAGATCCAACTCCTGCAAGGAGCTGCACTGTCCCATGACATGCCAGGATCTACAGGCCCTGAGAAGAGCTTGCACAACAGCCAGGGCAGCTGCATTCTGCCCAAAGCAGAGGCCTGCTGACTTCCCAGGCCAGCACCCTACACTGGCTGTCCTCTTACCAGGTCCCCAGGCAAGGGGTCTAAGGGACCACAGGTGGGGTTGGAAGGCTGAGGAGGGGCAAGTCTTCCTCAGTGGGCTGAGACATATACAAAAAAGCAGTGGTGAAGAGGCAAGGAGAAAGGCAGCCAAAGAGCAGTCAGTTCATTAAACTAAGGAGTTGATAAGCTGCATTATCTGCTGAATAGTGTCAGGGGCCTAGCTGCCCGTATCTTTCAGAGGCTCTGCAAAAATTACTGAACAGGAACTTGGTAATTGATAAGCACAATTACCCGCTCAGAAAATGACAGAGTGAACAAACTGCAAGAAGCTAACCAGCCAGGGCTGCCGGAGCCGGAGCTGCTCGACAAGCACTGGGCTTGACCTGTTCTCAAACTCTCTCATCTGCTGCCTCAGCAGAGAGCACTACTAATTACTAACGGGTGAGCACAGACAGAGGCGTGGCAAACTGCTCAAAAGGGTCAGGTAGAGTCCTTCTTGGGAGCCAGAGACCGGATTAAAAAACTGCCAAACACTTATCCTGAACCTCTTTAGAATGACCCATTAAAACCCTGGAAGGATGTTTTTCACAGGAACAAGAGACCCTTCTGGTCCATTCTGCCCAAATCCCCCCCACCACCCAAATGCTATGTAGAGAGACTCAGGGTCAGCGGAGCGGGAACTAGCTCAACGACAGGCCATCTACTATCCTATTGCTTTCACAGAGAAGGGTCAGTGCACAAGAGGATTACAAAACTTTAAAGTCTGGTCGAGCTGGTTCAGTTGGCTCTCCACCACAGCTCCCGAAGGTTGCCAATTCTGTGTCCACTCTGGCTCAAAGACAGCACAATCCTCAAAAGAGGAGACCTAGAAACCTGGTGCCAGGTGAAACAACAGGCCTTCATTTCTAAATGTGAGAGTGGGTCATGCTTTCAGAATCCTCCAAGATCAGGTTGAGCAGAAACAGAGGATATGTTATTTCCTGAAGATTTCTCTAAGGAACCGATGCCAAATAAAGGAGCTGAAATTGAAGGATTTGAAAAGAACTTTCTGCCTGGCAAGAAGGTTAAACACCCAGACGCACCATGAAGGTGGTGGGCTCTGTAGCCTCAGAGAAGATGAGCTACGTGACTGGAGGCAGACAACTCGAGTCCCCGACAAGGTCTAACTAACGCAGCCTCACAACCTGCTCAGACAATGTCAACCCGATACCCCTACCATGCGTGGGCAAATGAAACTGAACCCTAGTGTCAGCCTCCCTGGAGGATCCGCAGGAAATTAAGCTTCCAAGGAAAAAGGAGGGAGAAGAGAGACTCTAAGAGAACCTGTTCAGGGACCGACATCAGAGGCACATTCACTCTGTCAAAGATGTATGAGAGAAAATCAGCCACTGGTTCAAGCTACCAATAGTAAAGGGGGCAGATGCCTTCCAGCCACAGGGCTATGAGACTGGCAATCATGTCAAAACTCAAACAGGAAAAAATGTTCTGGAGCCAGTACAGAGGGAAATAGGTCAAAGACCATAGGCATTCTCTGGGGTATAGCTTCTGGAGATTTCTCTTCGCTCTTTGGGATGGGGCATAGGGTGGAGGGTGGGAGTAAGGACAGAGACAGGCTGGGGTAACATGGTTTACATGTGTTCCACACATCCAGAGTGGGAAAACACAGAATCACATTTCCTGGAAGGGGAAAAGAGTTGGATGAGGCCTCTGGCTACCCTTGGCACACACCCAACTCAGCGCGGTCTCTCTCCAAGGGTTCGTGGAAGTCAACAGACCCATAAAGCGGAAGTATTAAAGCTGAGATTAGAAGAATGGCCTACAAATTGGACATCATCTCTGATGCAACATCCAAGTGAATTCTCCCACACAGACATACCTGTTATTTGTCTCTGACATTCAGCCCCTTAATTCAATCAGGGTCTGAACACTCTCACGTCACCCCATGGGTATTTCAACGGCAGGTCAAGTGAAAGCAAACTAGTACGCGGAGCTAGCGCTTCTCCCTGAAGCAGAGGCAAGGAACAGGGAGGGAACGGGATGTGGGTGACAGGAATGCAAGGGACAGGGCTGATATGAAGGAAATCAGAGACGGGCAAAAGCAGGGCCTCTGGAGGGAGGCTTAGGTAGACAGGGATGGCAG